GGTCTCGAAAACCTCCCGTAACTCATTTAAAATTAGCTGTTCATCAAATAAAGCTTCATATCGGAAATTACGCGCTTATAAGTTTTCGATAGCCCCCCCCCCCATGCCTTCCCCCGCTTCTGAACAAACACAATCTGATTTCCTTTCAGAGAATGCTTCTTAAAAAAATTTAGAAAGACCAGCTGCACGGAAAAGAATGTTTGTTTCGAATAAATGCGCCAAAAAAGTAACATACTATGTCAGGATTGTCAACGGCTGCCCCGGCCTCCAGCAATATTTTCACGACTTCGTCATGCCCCAAGTAGGCCGCATCAAGTAAGGCTGTCCAGCCGTCCTGAAAAATTACAAAAAACTTCCAAAAAAAAGAAGCTGGCGTATAATCTGGGCGGGAGTAGAGTGAGGCTCGTCAGACAATGTTAGCAACGGCACTTTTGGAAAACAAAAATCAGCTGCAATATGCGACAAAAATACAATTCAGGATTCTTCATCAAGCAACTATCAACTGAGTTCTCCAATTCTGGGCAAAATCACTCATGAGAAAGGCCCCAGTCCAATTTATAAAGGAATTTTTATTAAAAAAATGCAAAAATTAACTAGCAAGTCGCAGATTTCATGAAGGAGAACGATAATTTACGTGAACGCAACAAGTTTTGAAGAACTATATTTAATCAAATTAAATTTGCAACGTGCCAAGAAATCGGAAAAGGACTGTAGTTACAACTCCAGAAGCCTAAGCGTTAGTTATTGATTCTTTGTTATACAAAATGAAGGAACATACGGCGTCAATGTCCTCCAAGTCGAAGTCATTGACGAAGTCTCGGACAATCCCTGCTTGTCCGGTTCTCGTTGCTACCATCAGCACATTTTCGCCATTCTAGAATGCAGCAGTTGCTTTAGTTTTAGCCCGCACTCACTCGGCCTCCTCTGCCCCTTCCCCTCAGCCAACTCATCGTCCTCCAGCCACTTTGGCAAAGTACTTTATTTAAAAAAAGGAAAGCTGCACCTAAAATGCATGCAAATTCCACGCCAGCTCGCGCGCCCTCGGAGACTAGTTATCGGACAGACATCAGGTGAACAATACTTCGGCTACTCTGCTTCGAAAGGAAAGCAAACCTTTTACATCAAGAACGGATCCCATCAGGCAGACCCGGATGTGCGCATTTTAATCAGAATCTTTTGTTACATGCTTAAACCGAAGCATTTTGGGCATGATAAAAGTATACCGTGTTTTTCATGGAATTCAGATCCAATGCAGCGAGACTGGAGCTCGATAATTCGCAATTCTCCAAAAATGAGAACAGTTCCTCGATTTCTTCTCGATCCATAACAATCCTCAAAAGTCGCATCTGTCACCCGAAAACTACCAGACAGCTCACACCACTTAGTGTTTGAATCTTCATCTAGAGCCAACAGAACCCATCTTCAGTCCTTTTTGTGCCTTTATTAACAACGTTCCCACAATACCGCTTAAGTAAGCAGACCCTGGAATTACCGGAGATGGAAAGCATGCAAGGAAAAAGTACAGCTAAACTGCGCTTCCGACACGAAGCGTGTGTACCGCAGAAAAACGACACGATGGAACAGAACTGCACAAAGAAATTTCAAGGGTGCAAATTGCAAAACGGGACAAAATTTCTAAAGAGGCACGGAAATGGTATAGTTTAGTATTCCCTCCGCAGAATCGCTCAATCATAAAAATTCCAGCAAAACTCATTATCCTTTCTTCCTCCCTTGCCCCTCCCCTTCACCCACCACAGAAATCGCTAAACACCTTTTTTTTTAGAACAGAAAACGTTGATGGGCGCCAGAGCACTGCGATAAGAAATGCTCGCCATTCAGTTGCAGCACA